ACCTTAACTAAAATTTCGAAAAAAAAATTTTTCCCCAAAACCAAAAAAAAAAAAAAAAATTTCCCCCAGAACCCCCCCCCCCCCCCCCCGGCACCCGCATGAAGTCCGATACTGAGAACGAGAGGCAAATGATCGTAGATCATCCCAACTCACAAATCTTGAGATATATTAGTTTGTGTATGAGTAAATCAGAACACAGTAGCACAAATCTAATAATAAAGTATCAGTGTGAATAAGAAGATAGTATTCATTATCTGCAACATTCATGCCTTTAGTTTTAATAGGAATCAAGTTGAAGACGAACAAGACTGCATTACAACTTAGCTTTGCTAAACACAACTTTCTATAGCATTCCCACGAGGCAATAATAATAATGCACATATCTATCCTTTTTATAAATTTTATGTTATTAATGTTTTGAACATTAGAGTGTCATTAAAATTTATTTTCTTTACAGGTAATGAAAAAGTTCAATCTCCAACCCCGATGAGTGAAATTGTTACCGATAACCAAGTTCAAAGGCCCGATCCGAAAATAACGTGGACCGTTGGAAGTAACTTAAGAAGCTAATGCTACTCACGACCCATATATATTTACCTATTGGATGACTTTTGAATCTTGGTCCATTTAGCCCTATTATTGATCCAAGTAAAGCTTAACATATTCCTATATATATATGTTGCTTTTTCCGTAGACGTTAGTGTGTGATTTATGTATGACATTAGAGAAAAAGTGGCTGCCTCTTCTTGCTAAAGACGGCTACCTTTATGGAAGAAAAATTGGTGACTTTTCTTTGCAGATTTTGGTCTCCCTTTGTGTCTTCTTCCATTGTCTTTTTCTTACCTTTGTGGCTTGTAAATCATCACCGTTATCTTGTCCTTTATGGGTGAGATTGAGAAACAACCAAGGTAAATATATTGGTTGTGGGTTGAATCTGTTTGGATTGGTTGTTTGGTAGAAAAATATATTGTGAAATTGAGCTCGAAAATTACCGATTTTAAGATCTTGGAATGAGCTTCCATGATAATTGGTATTAGAGCTTTAAGGTAGTGGATTTTGCTCAAAAATCAACATAATCGAGGCAGAAATTAGATAGAAAAGCTGTCCAAAAAATTTGCCCAAAAATCGAGGTTTTTTCCTTGATTTTCAACCAAACCAGAAGGACTTTGGTGAAACGGAGATCACTGGGGTGAAGTGCAGGTGGAGGCGATCCTGATATTCAGGGTGTGACTAGCAGTAACGGAGCGTGGCTACGCAGAAACTGTTGGCCTCTTCTGGCGGCGTGTGAGGAGGAATTCGGCAAGGTCTCTTCAGGCAATTTGTTCTTGACATTTTTTCTGACATTTTGGTGTTGCTATAGTTTTCTATTCCAATTCATACGGTAGAATATGAATAGATTTATCTTTCACGTGTTCGGAATTCGATTGTGGTTGGTTGATTTCTACAGTTGCTGGAGATTTTAAGATAAATAGTGATGACCCTAAAGTGGTACGGACTTAGATTGGTCTACTCTGATATATTTGCTTATCCCATTTAAATTTTAATATTAGCGAGTAATCGTATGAGGTGACATTAGGGTTGTGGTTACTGTGTGGGGTAATCATTACTTGTGCTAGAATTCAAGAATTATTTGCCATATTTGAAGTGTGGGTTTTGATTACAAGTTGATATTGCTTTGTGCTTTAATTGTTATTTAATCATTGTATGAGATTGCATTGAGTGAGTATTTAAATTTCGAAATTGAAATTTTCAATGGAAAAAGAAAATTTTCAATTTGGCAACAAAAGATTAAAGAATTTTTTATTCTACAAAAGTTTCAAAAGCCAAAAATGACAAATTTCCTACAAATTTGATAGAAGCACAAAAAGAAGAATATAATGAACTAGCTTACACTTCAGTTACTTTACACGTATCTAATACCATTTTGAGAAAAGATGAAAAACTTAATTCTACTGAAAAAACTTTGGAAAAAGTTGAAAGACTTATATTTGTTTAAATTTACTCCTAATAATTTGTATTTACTTGAAAGATTTTTCAATTTTAAAATAAATCCTTCAAAGGATCTTGATGACAATATGAATATTTTTAACAAACTTGTTTAAGACATTGTTAATTGTGATGGGAAAGTATCTGAAATATATGAGGCTATTATCTTACTTAATTCTATTTATGACTCGTAAAGGGATGTTAAGAATGCGATTAACTATGGTAAGGACATCCTAATACTTGAAATTGTCATTGATTCTTTTAAAAGTAAAGAGATGGAGATTGAGACTGAAAAGAGGATGAGAAGAGTGGTGAGTTATACTTGATGAAAAGTAGAATGAAGTTTAAGCAAAATGGGTAGAGCTCAAGACATAAGTGATTCTAGTGATGAAGGTAGTAAAAAGAATGGCAAGGGTTGGAACAAGTCTAGTGATAAGCGGTGTTACAGTTGTGGTAAGTCTGAACATTTTGTCAGAAACTATCCCAAGAAGAAGGATAAGATGAGAAGTGAGGTAAATTTGGTTTAAGGTATAGTGATGACCCTAGTGAGGCTTATTTAGTGCCTGTTTGGTCCCGCTTCAAAGCAGATTAAAATCAATTTTTGGATCATTGCTTTGTCTTCTACCGTTTAAAAAATTCAAAGTGCTGGCTCTTCTCAGACTTTCCGCAGACACATGTCAGGGGG